CCACAAGCCATGGTCAACTTAATAGTGTCTATTGGTCAAATGCATCTTCTAACCAGAGGGGCTAGGCACCAGCCTCTCTTGACCTTTTTAAATATGGGGGAATGGTGACAAGTTATGACTGAGGCTCACAACTGGGTAATGCCTCAGGGCTTACCAAGGGAACAAAATGCCAAAGCATGGGTCAGAAATGTGCTCCCAGAGAAAGATCCACACTGGAACTCCAATTCAGAAGGTGTAGAGTAAACCTGGAAAGGAATCAACAGGCTCTAATAAAAAAGCTAAAAGAGGGAGCCAAGGAAGTTTTGGCAGCTGACCACTGCTGGGTGAGAAACTGCTGTTCTTCAAGGGAATGATGCTAGATAGACTGATCAGGCTCCAGTGGACAAATTCACACCAAGGAACATCTGAGGATACAAAGATTATTTGATAGGACTTAAAATATATGACAGAATGCATGAAACCTGGTGGAGCAGGCTATAGAGCCTGGGGGGACATTGCCAATAGAGTGATTGTAAAACAGGAGCAGGCTGAAAGAGGACGACATGGGAATGAAACAGAAAGCCATCCTCCTGGTGGTAGCTCTGGCCCCTCCAAGACCCAGATGAGACCAGACAGGAGCCCAGGCCCTATGATACACTGCAAAGGGACAAATGTGCCTACTGTGAAGAAACTGGACACTGGAACAATCAACTCCCCCCAAAAAACAGAGGAGAATGGAATGGACACTATCACATTCCATGTCAGGCTGAACTTTCCATTACAGACTTTATCAGACGGGCCAGTATCAGCTCAAAATGAGACAGACGAGGCTCCTTTACACTAGGCCCCCATGAGCCAATGATCAAAATAAAAGTCAGCAACTACTTAATGGACTTTATGATTGACACTAGCACTGAATACTCACTTGTTATCTAACCAGTGGGCCCCATTTCACAGAAAACAGCAATAATGCAAAGTACCAGGAATCTAATCAGGTGTCCCTTTGTAAATCTCTGAACTACATCTTGAGAGGACAGTAAATAAATATTTCTTTTTACAATAATATAACAATTACATTTTTATAATATAATAATAATATGCCATGTCCAGTACCCTTGTTGGAAAGAGACCTCTTATAACAACTTATAGCAATGGTTACCTTTTCTATGGATGACGCTTTCTACCCTGAACTGCAGAGATCCTCAGAAGCTCCTCTCATCCTGTCAGGAGAGGAAGAATGGAGAATTATTTCCTGACCCACCACAAACACAGACTCTGCCCTGGAAACTTGGAGTTTCTGTTTTCCTGGTATCTGGACTGAAATGAACCTATCTGGGTTAGCCCTTAATCATTCACCTGTGGGAGTCCAACTGCTGCCTGGGGCAGCCCAATAATGATCCAGCAATGCCCCTTATGTCAAGAAACCAAGATTGGAATCCAGACTCATCTGCAGAGACTGTTGGAATTTTGGCTGTTTTGAAAATGCCAGTCTTCCTAGAATACTCTCATGTTATGCATGAAGAAACCAGGCACCATTGACTACTGACTTGTCCAAGACCTATAAGCCATTAACCAGGCTATAACCATCAACCATCCAATTACCCTAAGCAGTACACCCCACCTAGGTCTCAGACCCCTTAAGTCCAATGTTTACCTGTTTTGGACAAAAAGGATGCTTTTTTTCTGCAACTACTTGGCACCTGCAACACAGTCATTATTTGCTTTTAATGGGAGGATTATGCTAGTAGTCAAAATAAATAAATATATAAATAAACAAATAAATAAATAAATAGCCTGGATTGATTGCCACAAGGGTTTAAAAACTCCCCCGTGATATTTGGAGAAGCCCTAGCAGTGACCTGGCCTGTTTCCCAGGTACAGAACTGAAATGAATACCCCTCTAATATGTGAATGACTTAATCCTGGCAGGTAGAAACCCTGGGAAACTGTAACTGGGAATAATTGTGTCACTGGACCTGCTCTAGGAGGCAGGATATAGGACTTCCCTCAAAAAGTCTCAGATCTGCCATGCACAAAACATGTTAAATAACTAATATTTCAGGTTTCAAAAGGACATTGGACCTTGGGTTCTGACTGAGAATAGGAAATCTGGACACTCATCACTTTAAAGACTCAGAAACAGTTTTGAGTTTCCTGTTATAACCTGAGAGTTTTAACTTGTTTGTTCATGAATGGAAAGGGATAGTTCTGTGAGTTCTAACTCAGAACAGAGGGCTCTGGAAGTGACCTGTCGCTGTTTGTCTAAAAAATTAGATGCAGTGGTCGCAGGATGACCACCTTTTGTCACCCTATTTTAATGCAGCCTTTGGTGAGATAAATGGTTTAGAAGATTAAGACTATAAGTTTCTTCCTAAGGGAAGAAGCTGGTGATTGGTATTTCTTGAATGTATTTTGACACATCAGTCAAATATATGGTTATGTACTCAAAACAAAACAAAAAAAAAACAGAAAAGTAAAATGTTGCACCTTCAATTCTATGGTTCAGACCTTCTTTTCAAGTTCAGCACAAAGGATTTAGACAATGTGCATCATTTTCTCAGGCGGTAGAGATAAAAAGATCAGAAATAGCACTCACCAAATTCTTTCAATTAAAATTCTATTTGAATTGATTTATTATGAAAAATTTAGGGTGCAAGGTACTTTTCTGGATATTTTCTACCATTTGTTCCTGGACTATGAGTCATAAAAAGATTACTGGATATATTAAATTGTCTAAATTTCTTTACCAGCTGACTTCCATTTATTTTGCGGTATGGAAGGCATAGGAAAGAAATTAAAATGTGGAAGGAAATGGGGCCTGTGGTAAATTTCACCCTTCTCTCTTTTCTTTAGAGCCCCCCCCCTTTTTTTTTCTTCTTTTGGACAGGGTGTCCCTGTAGCCCTAGCTTGTCTGGAGACCATAGTGACCTCAATCTCTTCTGCATGCCTCTGCCTACCTGGTGCTGAGATTAAATGTGTGCCTAACAATCCTGGCTCAAGACCTTCCTTTGGAAGTGACTGTGACTCTGAGGAGGTTATAGGTCTTACTAGGTAACTTGTTTCTCTGTATTTTATATTTCCTGTTTGATAGTGATGGTTCCTGAATTCTGTAGGGCTAGAATTTTTCAATTTCTTTCCAGACCAATGAAGGGTAGTTATGCTTTGACTTCAATTGTCATTGAAATCTTTTTTAAACATTTATTCATTTATTTTTCCTTTATGTGTATGTATGTTTGGCCTTCAAGCATGTGAATGTACCCGTGTTATATGACTTTAGAAGCCAGAAGAGGGTACTGGATCCCATAGAAATGGAGCTATTGACAGTTGTTATGGGTACTGGGAACCAAATCAAGTTCCTCAAAAGCTGACAGTGCTCTTAACCACTGAGTCATCTTCTCTCTCTCTCTCTCTCTCTCTCTCTCTCAATGGGGGCATACATTGTGTATGGGTACATATGGGGGTCAATGGTCGATATCAGGTACCTTTCTTGACCACTATTCACCTGATATTTTGATATCAGGTAAATAAAGCACCTGAACCCAGACATTGAAGATTAGGCTAGTTGAGCTAGCTAACTTATCTTGCTTAGCTGCTGGGGATCTAAATACCGCTCATCACATTTATGTGACAGCTCTTTACTTGCTGAACCAACTCACCACTCCTCCAAAATCTTTCTAATGATGCTACAATCCACTGATTGTATGTATCCTTCAGATACATAATAAATGAGTGGTAGATATAGAATTAGAACCTTAGGAACCTGTCAGTCTCTATCACCTGACCAACACTTTGCATCTGTATGAAACCAGACTGAAACTTCTTGCTTCCTAAAATTAGATGTAGAACTGAGAGGAGGAATTTTCCAAAACCTGACAATAGTTGAATGTTAATTATACATCTTAGGTTTCTTTAATAGTCTACCGTAGACGATACTTTGCAGAATGATGCTATGAAATATCTAAAGGTACATCCAGAAATGAATGTAATTTTTTTAAACTTTGAGTTGATGGTGCTTTTCTCCTGCTCTTCAGAAAGCACACCACAAGTACACCAGCCTTTTCAACTTGCCACAGAGGAATTTGAATCCTATAACTCTCAAAGATTTTTTTTTTTTCTACCTCTCTTAGCTTATTTTCTTTACCAAGATTTCAGGGCAGTTTGTATTTGTTTCTGTGCATATTTTGAGATAAATTTCTGTAGCTCATGATAAGAAAGCATCTGTCCCTATACACAACAGGAAGAGATTATTTTCCATATAGACTGAACTTTTAGCATTCCATTGACATTTTTGTCTCTTGATTTGTAAGAAATAATTTCTGAATTGTTTTTGGAAAGGCTTTCAATCTGGTTGTCAGGTAAAATAAAATTTTACTGTATTCTTAGATGAGAACTTTTCTCTTCTGGACTAAGGGTTTGTTAATCAATACAAGGCTATCTGGATCTCCTCTACCTCCATTTAAATTATGTTAAAATTTTCCAGCATTTAAGTTTTAACACATAATTCTGTAATATGTTTTCTAAGGAAAAACTGAGGATGATAAAACAATATATTTAAAGAAGAGACAGTAAGAATCAAGGACTTCTAACACATTTTCTTTTTTTAATAAATACATAAAGCTCTTTACCATTTCCCTCAATCATTTTGATTAATATGATAATAGGATCTTTTAGAGCATCATTATATAATTTTCACAGCCTGATGTAAAAAGACTCATTTTACAGAAATCATGACTAGCATTAATAGATGAATGTTGATGCCTTAACACAACAGTAAAAGGCTTATTTACACCATCTTAACATACATAAACACCATACACCTACACAAAAGAACCACAGATCTGGAACAAAGAAAGTTCAATCTCCTAGACAGCTTGCATTTATAGGCTTTGTCAGAAACTATATATATGTGTATATATATATATAGCCTATCGAGTCTAGTCAAAATGTGTTGGCTCATCTGCTGGAGCCTAGTCAAACTATCCAGCATTACGCCCTTAAGGAAAACTGGC